TTTATTTTAGAGGTTCATCAGGTAAGAAAAAAAAGAGAAAGTTGTCACTTTATTTTCTCTTTAAAATCTGAAGACTTGGCGCGTTGTTTTTCACGAGCTAGAAAATGAATCCTCGGTCTCCGATAGGGCCCATTGTGGTCTCCTCTCATAAACATATAGTCCTTGCATTCAGTGAAAAAAGAGGTAAGGGATATTTTTTTACAACAAAAGCCTTTGGAGGGTGTGAAAGGAGCCCCCCCCTCGCACTCCTAAACGCCTCGACACAGTTGGAGTTCGCCCCCTCCCCACTTCCCCGGGGTCACTAAAGGCATTGAAGTTTTAAGGGGCTGCCACGGCAGATTACTCCACACAGCTGTCCCAGCACCGTGGAAATAAAGTTATGCCCCTTGTCAGCTATGTTTTGTGTCCCCCCCCCCCCGTCCCCCCCTTCAAACTTCACACCCCTGCTCCCTGGGCCGGAGCTGAAGGAGGGATCAGGGGGAGGTAACCGGGGGGACAATTCCTACCCAGCCATGGCCGAGAGAGGCGATCCGATTGGTGGATTAAATATTCCTTCTTTGCATCATTATTCAGGGAGGGCTCGAAAATCCCCTGACATTCACCCCAGCACAGCCCCCCCCCCAAGAACCCTCAATCATAAATCAACCCCTCCTCCACCTTTCCCACCTCTCTCTCTAAAAGCTCAGGGTGCTGCCTTCCTCAAGTCCACCCCCCCTAAACCTCCAATTACTGCGGGTCACCGAGGTTTTACTACTCTGCTTTGCTTTTGCTAAGGTTTGTTTATTTTGGGTTGAAAAACTGAAGAGTAACACCTCGAGGCATCCCAGGACATGTTCAACGAAATGGAAATGTCTTTGCTGGATTCAGTACATCCAAAGTTTAGTCAAGTTTTGTCTGGATCCCCAAAGTCCAGTTTTTGTTTGGCTATGAGTGACTTCCTTGGCCCTGGTGTGCTCATGCACGAGGTACAGGACCCTGTTTGTTTTCATTCTGCTTTGTATGCAGACTGAAAATTGACACTTGCAATGTTTGCAAAATGCAGCGTATTCATTGGCTGGTACATTTTTGAAGGAAGCTGTCGCTCTCCTGGAGCTCTTTGGAAAACGCTGACTTCCTGTTCAGTATGACACCTCACCTATACCTGCCCTGGTCCTCTTAGGTTAGGATGATCTATAGGCTAGCTAAGCAACAGCTGATGACCCTGAGATGGATTGACACATTGAACTTTGACTTGTGGTGTATGAGTGATGTTTTTCTATTGGTTAAAACAGCAGCAGCCATGGCAACAACATTGATTGACATGTTTACAGAGAAATCAGTGTTGTCAGCTACATGGTGTATTTCAATGGGTCAAAACCAGGACAGGGTCTGTGCAAAACCTGCACATGTTAGTGTTTTATAGATATTTGTGGGGACTCAGGACATGGATCTTAAAAACTTGATGGTCCCAGTCAAATGGAGACTAATGATCACCCTCAATCAATACATTGCATAATTAGGAAATCCAGGAGTTTCTACCAGACCAAAACGACTCAAATAATCCACAAAGTCAGTAAAGCTTCAGTCATGTTCTTTGTGTTTGTTCTCCATCGTGCTGACCTTGAGACTCTTGTAAACTAAAGAATGCTTCATGTAAAACCAGTGAGTGTGTCGTATTACAAAGTGATGAGGTATACTAACCGCGCTCAGGCCCGGGTGGAAAAGTAGCAAAGAAAAGCAAAAAAGTCCTGAACTCAGAGGAAGTCTGTGATGAAGAGAGAGAAGATGCAAGAAATATTTTGGAAGGATGCAATCGGGTTTTACTTCTTTTTAACTTATGAGCTAAACACTGGAGTGGTATTCTAACAGACAGGAAAGGGGGAGGGAATCTGAAGTCTTCCCGACTCATGCTGAGTAAAAAAACACAGACCGTGGTGAAGCATCGGTTCTGGAAACCAAACTCCTGGAGAGGGTCACCTCTCTGCCACTTCAGGTTGTGGACAGGAAGTCTCTGACTGTTGTATGTGCATTTACACCTAACAGCAGTTTGGAACTTCCAAACTCCATGTGATCTGCAGAGTCCCTCTGCACCTTTAAGAAAAAGCTAAAGACCCAGCTCTTTCATGAATACCTACTAACTTAATGATGATGGTCTCCATATTATTGATGATGATGATGGTAATGACGATGGTTTTTGTTTGATAACGACGACTTATAAGATGGTTTCTATACTGATTAGAGCTCTCAAGAACTGCCCTCAATGTTGTGCTTTGCCTCTGGTCACTTCCTGTCAGCACCTGTGTGTCCAATCAGACTCAAAGCTGATCGTTTGCTCTTACTGACGTTGTTCCCTTTTTTCTAGATCCTTGCTTGTGTTGTTCTTACTCTCTGATGTACGTCACTTTGGATAAAAGAGTCTGCTAAGTGAATTGTAGAATACCATATATCAGCTATAGATCAAATGTATCAGAAAATGAGTCTTTCTTTTGCTGCTGTGGTATCTGTAAGAGAGACGCCTCACTCAGCTTTGACGCAGTTTGAAAAAGGAAGAAATGAAGGCTGAGATCTGCACTTTTGAACTTTTTCATTTCACTCAAAGATCTTTCCATTTCGATCAGGTCTCTAATGTAAAAAGACTTATCTTTGACACTTGGTTTTCACCTCTTCTGTCTGTTCTAAACTTTTTTATTTACTCCATTTTACTCGTATGTCACGTGAATTGACCTTAAGAAGAAATATGTTTTATTACAGGGTTGAAAGTTTCAAAACAGGCTCAGTCGGAGGAGGAGGCAGAGCAGTTTTTAAAACGTGCTGATCTTGCAGAAAAGGTTATGTTGTGATTTAAATGTTTATTCAACAGGAGCCATAAATTCATGATGCATTCAGGGGAATAATGGGCACTACAAACATTACACACAGAGAGAGAACCATGTACCTACAAAGTGGAGAATAAGTAAATTCATGACCGAGGAACATTAACAAAGTGAGTAAAACCAACAAAATGAGTTTTATCCCATAGAGCGTTTTTTTTTAAAGTGTAACCTAGAGGACGGAGGGGTTCAGGGGCGGGGGAAGCGGGGAGGTCGGACCAAGAGCACACTTTGAGTTATGATGAGGCAATATTAATGAGGTTCTGGTCCCCCCGCACCAAAAGACCGAGTCGCCTCTTTTCCGATTTAGCATGGGAAAAAAAAAACACAACATTCCTATTTTCCTCATGGTGCCAAAAGTTAATTGAAAACATTTCAGGGGCGAAGTGGAGTCTCGGGGGCCCCCATATGATCCTCATCCCTTCATTATCCCCAACAATAATAAAAAGGCATTACAATTATTAATGGCTGCAGCGGGGGCCGGTCTCTCTTAAAGTGACAGTGACAGGCTTTTTGCTTCTCATAACAAAAGCCCAGAAGTGGTTCACCACATTGCTTTGTTTGGTATTTTTTAACAATCACAGAGGCATTGTGGGATTTATGATTTCTGTTTTTTTTAAAGACTGTTTAAAGCTTGATGTTGGCTTGTGATTTTATCGAATTAGAAGGTTGCAAAAGTATGATGAAAAGAACCACTAGGCATCGACCTGCACATAAAAATGTATCTGCAGACAGACTCCCAGCAGGACTTAAAACCGAGCAATAAAAAGCTGAGCGTTCACACACATAACTCCTCCGTCCTCCTCTCAGATAGCCGTCTCCTCCTCGCCTCCCCCCACTCCCCCTGAAAAGAGGTGACAGCCAGGGAGAAAAAAAGAGTGAATGAAGTGCCCCCACATTGTACCGCTGCACCATTGTGTGTTTTGGGATCTCCATAATAGAGGTGCCACTCGACTTCTCCTCCAATCAATGGGCTGGAGGGCCCATCTCTCCCCCCCCCCCCCACTGCCCTGAAAAGCAACATGGCTGCCATCAATGGATTCAAGACCCATTATCACAAGTGCAGGAGGAGACACTTGGCTTTTCTGTGAGTGCATGAGAGAGCTGACTGACTCATGAGCTTGTAAAGTGACACATGTCCGCAGCATTCAGTGTAAAGTAAGACCTTAAATAAGATTTGTTTTTTGACAGAAGCCCAGAGAAGACATGCATCCAAACATTTAATTTCACCTGTTTTGCCAAGTACCAAGTACATTTTGGATGTTTACTTGGTTTCCCCATGATTACCAGTTCAATCTGGTAGTTTTCTCGAGATCTCGATACATGAACCTGTCCCTTTAAATCAGCGTTATCCCGAGATAATAACATACATAAGTCGAGATCTTGAGAGAACAAGTGGAAATGACTCGTTATCTCCAAAGAACGCAGTTAAGGAAACTGTTTGGATGTTTGTAGTTTTTTTTGACAGCTTAGCTAATGAAATCCAGTAAACTATTTCTGCATCCTGTACTGTTCTGTTTTTGATTGTTTGGTTTTGTTTATGTGGATCTGTTGTTGAGTTTTGTGTATTTTAAAGGCCCAACATGCATCGCTAACTAGTTTAGGCTAGTTTACTTACTCCAAACGTGTCCCTATACAAATAAACATGGAATAAATGAAGGAAAAAAGCCCCCAAATTAATCTTTAAAAAGATTTTTTAAAACATGTAAGTTACTCATCAAACGCAGGAAATCAGGCGTGTTAAAATTATTATATTTGTGTATTTTTTTGCGCAACAATTAGACAATTGCACAAGAGGTAGAGAGCGAGCAGGGAGACAGGGAGGCGTCTGATTGGTTCATCAGATTGGTACCTCGTGGCAGACATTGGTTGAAGTTTTTACAGACTTACAAACTGATACAGATGATGGATTTACTTTGTTCCTTTTTCAGAGAACATGAGTTATTCATTTCTGTCAGGACCTAAAGACAATTTACACCAGAATCTTAAAAAAGTGGATCTGGAGGAAAATGGCCGACCCTGCCTTTAGTAAGATGCACATACTTGAATATTAACCGAGAGTTGGAAACCCTTCTTCAATCAATATGTGACGCAAACATCTTTCAAGACTCAACATGAAAAGTTTGACAGAGCGACACAAACGTCCAGATAATCATTTAAACTTCTTATTTATTTGATGTGCATGTACATTCAGAGGAGTGTGTGTGTGTGTGTGTGTTCATTACGGGCACTTAATATCTCCGCTCACCAGAACAGGCGGCCATTTTTTTCCTTTCTTTTTTTTTGTCAGTGTGTCATCACAGTGAAGACTTTAAACACATTGGAGGGGGAGATAAACAAACAGCGACCAAACGCTTCTTGTGGTGCCGAGAGGAGGAGTTCACCTCTCCTCTGTCGTCTGTTTAAACAGTTTCCAAGAATCAACACTTCATACTTTACACAAATGTCCATGTTGACAAGGTCAAGTGGGTCCCCTCCTCTCGTTTCTCCGGCATTATTTTTTCCTCCTCTGAGATTCAGACACATTTCAGAGGCTTGCAACAACTTTTGGTTTGTAATGACGGGCTTGTGGAGGAGGTCTGTGTACAGCTGGCGAGGAGAAAACTGCTCTGCTTTCACAGCATGCCTCTGATATGGTCACATGACGCGGGGAATAAAAAACCACACGTTTTTAGGCACTTTGAACATTTTCCTACTCCTCTGTGGTCTTACGGCAGTAAAAAAAAAAAAAAAAGGGTGGCTCACCTTCTGGTACAGTGCAAAACTCTCTCATAAACAAATATTTATACAAAAACACTTTTTTTTTTACAATATACTGTACAATTTAACTTTATATAAACTGGGATATACAACAAAAATAGGGCTCTTTAGCATTTTCTGATGGCTAAAATTTGGAATGTGTAATAATATATGACTTCTATGCAACAATTATATCCTCAAATCTGAATTTGCATGTGCTTCACATGAACATTTGTGCAGATCTATAGCAAGAAAAATGGATCTCACAGGTGGAAAATGTTGCTTCAGGACACATAACTCATTAGCAACATAAACTATTGATTTTAACACTTTTAACAGAGGATGTGTGCGGCTCAGTAGAAGATAACTACAATGTATAGCCTCACGTTTTAGTTTAAAGACAGATTGTGATGTGGTTTCTGCTGGTTTTTAAAGACAGCAGGGTGTGTAGCTGCACTTATTACAGCCATTTCTTTTTAGAAAACATTACCACATGGCAACTTGTGCTATTGATTTTATCCTAACAGGACCATCTTGACAGGGGGAATATGTGCAGATCAGTAGAAGAAAACTATCTTTATAGCCCAGATTTCAGTTTAAGGCAGATCCTGGTGTGATTTCTGACTCTCTAGCTGCACTTGAAGGCATCACCTCTCATATTAATCTCGTAAAAACCAAAGTGGTTGTGAGGATAGAGATCAGAGTCCGACAAAGCAAGGAGTCACTCGAGTTCTCCACGTATTGATAATCCTCCTGATCGATGTAATCATCCTCAGAGTCCTCCTCGGAGTCTGAAAATCCGCTCCCCGCGAACCTATCGGCGGAATCCGAGCAGAAAGTTTTCATGCTGACTTTCACGTACTCACAAATGTTCCTGTCCGTGCCGTCGCACACACACGTGTCCAGCTGCTGCGCTTTGGGTATGGAGCGCATGTTCGCGATCACCCTCCGGCACCCGTCCGAGCACTTTTCCCCCCCGAAAAGTTTCCTGCACTGAAACAAGTAATCCCTCATCGCGGAGCTGCACGACGAGTCCTGCTCGCACTGCCGCCGGGCCTCCGTGCAGCCCATGGTGCTGGTGCGCGGCAGACACGGCTCGATGGCTTGTTTGGTGCTCCTGCAGACCGGGTCGAGGGCGCAGTCGCACTCCTCCAGGTCCGGGCCGCTTTGGGTTAAATTGAGCTGGATCAGAGACGAGATGCAGTGGCTGGGACACCTCTTGCGCTCCCCGGTGATGACAGAAGCGCACGCGTAGAGGTATTGATCGTAAGCGTAATGGCACTCCGGCTCCCCGTGGCACTTGAGGATGGCTTTCCAGCAGACCGGCCGGCGACTGTGGTTAGGAGAGCCGATGCATGAGCCGATGATCAGGATCAACACACTGCATGTCAAAAGCACCACTCGCTCCATCAATATGGCACGATTTTCCATTTCCAGGAAGAATAAGTCTTAAATACGTTAGAATTCATCAGGGCTTCTGCAGGGTTACTCACTGGTCACGTCATAATGTTAGATTGTAGTTGCCACAACGTAAGAAGCAGGTCACCAATGACGCCCATAACAAGTCCATCATATTAAGTCTCAGTGTGGATTCAGAAGTCCCAGATCAACTCAGTCCCTGCTCCTTCTACGTATCCGATCCGTCGGTCAGCACGCACACACAAGACGAAAAAAAAGTGTTGGAAAAACAAACGGAAGAAGTTATTTCCCAAACTCTTCCCAAAGTAACGCGATAGATCCTTTAAGTGTGAAAGTCGCTCTTCAGTCGCTTCTCTGCCACCCCGCATCCACCCGGACTAACAGCGGCTTTGTGATGAAGTCTGTGGTGATGGACTGACTAGGTTGCTGCAAGAGAACCACTTCTGATTGGCTCGATTAACTGTTGTGATTATGACGTCACACGCAGGCAGTGACGCAAGCTGTTTTGTGTTTTGAGGAAACTTTCTGCAGAATGCACTCAGTAACTTCCAGCTGATTATCCATAGATGTTGAAATGAGAATGTTCTTGTGTCTCATATTTGTTTTTGTTTTGTGTGGAAAAAGGCAAAAATTCAATAAATCCACAATTTGCTGTTAAAAAAAATTACCTTAAACATTTTTATGTTTCGTGAATCTTTAAGTAGGCTATAAAAAAGTTGACTCAATATGAGAAGCCAGCACTTCAGCACAGCATGTTTCCTTAATGTCTGATCATATAGTAAGGACACTTGATCATTTCACTGATTGGACTTTTAAAGGCTTTAAATGCAATTTTTCACACTTAAATATAATATAAATCAAGTCTCTCCTCTGAAAATAACTCTGTGGGTCATCACTCTCTACAATGGGTGTAACACCCGAGTCCCACTGTCTGTGATGTTTTCAGAGTTTTCAGAGTCCTATCTTCACTTTGTTTACATCGCCAGGCCGGCCGGCTGACTCCTCCCCTCGTGTATAAAAGTTGTTTAATTGAGGGACTAGAGAAAAGAAGAATAACATACTGTACTCACTGCTTAACTGTGTTTCTAGATCACGCTCATTTCAGGTAAATTTACATGCAGTGTGAAGATACCAGCAGAATAAAGATCGCTAGCATTAGCATGCTAACACAACAATGCAGCGCAAGTTGTTTTGGTTTCATGCTGGTGCTCAAGGGCGACATCTGCTGGATCAAAAAAATTGCATATAGAACCTTTAATGTCTGATCATATAGTAAGGTCATTTCATCATTTCACTCACTACACATCTCACTGATTGCTCCTTTAAGGAAAAAATAAAGACATCAGAATTTCATGCCAGGAAAAGTGTAGAAGATATTTTAACTTTAGTTACTTTTTGATGTCAAATAGTGACTTTTCTTCAAAGGAAATAAAGATAAATGCTGTTATAGTTTAGCCTACACACCTTCGCAGTCAGATGGTAATCGATCAATGCAATGTTTGGCTGTTTTCTGCATTCATTTTTTAGATACTTGACTTCACACGAGAAAGATTCAATACTCTCGATATGATGGCTTAAGTTGAAATAGTTCATGAATGACTCTCGAGGAGAACTGACATTAGCTGCACACGTGATACAGTGCCTTGCTAAGTCGGTTCTGTCAGAACGTCCCAAAGGCTCTGTGTTTATCCTAAAGATGATGCTGAAGTCAGGGGCATGTCACTTGACCATATCGAGTGACTATACTAAATGAACGTCTAAATACCTGAAATTGAAGCTTGTGATTTGAAACAATTCCAAAGTGAGGTTCCAGATAACGGCGAGCAGACGCTACGTCTGCTAAAAAACAAAAGAGAGAACAGAGAGAAGAAAAAAACACAACAAAGTGACCTTGTTTGTCGTGCTGGGCCCTTCAACCAATCAGCAGCCAAGCTTGACGGCAGGCTTAATTACCTTCAGTTAAGCATGCTACACTGGCCACGAGCAGATATAACATTGTAGAACACAAAAACACAAAAAATAACAACCGCTCTCTTAGGTATAAATGGCACTAACATGCAGAGGGAATAGAGATTTAAAAAATGCTGCTGCAGTTTATCCTACACCTTTACAGATTGGGCTGTTTTTCTGTTTGTTTGTATTCTAATCTTTTATGGATAGTTCATCATGCTTTAAATAAATCTGCTGCAAACTTTGTATTCCAGAAACTTAAAATACTCTTTTATTAGCGCTCACCCCTGCAACAAGAACAGTGAGGAGCAAGGGCGCCATTTTCTTTTTTTTTTAGGTAAACACTTGGATTGTGGTTCTTCTCCGCTGTCAGAAACAACAGCTGTTAAAACACATGCAGAGCTGCTGTCGGACACTTTTTTTGACCATGCAGGAAACATACCGAGCCGATGGTAAAAAAAAAAGTTATGATGGGAGATGGTTTCTAAAAAGTACCACAGGAGAATGAAAAAAAGGAAAACATTCTGTGTAATCTTAAATCCTAATGATCCAGCACTTTCCCTTTTGTTAAGCGTATTTTCTAACAAACACATTAGCAAGAAAAGGACTTTAAAGAGGAAGAACCCCCGTAAACAAACATCTAATGGTTCTACAAGGGCCTTAAAGCCAACAGAAGAAAGTGTAGAAACTAAAACTACCCCCGTTCATTCGGACAACTTTGTTCTTCTGACCCATGTCACTTCACCACACCATGACCACAAAGATCTGGCAGCTCTCAGGGGCCCCTTGAAACCTCCCCCCCTGATTCCAATTAGAGAGATTAGAGAGGAGTCAAGACAAGAGCAGAGGAGTTTCTTAGCCAAACAACCCACACTTACAACCTCCCTCCCTTCCCTCCCTCCCTCCACGTCATCCAGCGGGGCATACCAGAGCAACAGGACGACTGCAGACTCAAACTGAGGCTACATCAAAGAGGAGGTTAGAGAAAGACCAAATGGTGAACTGCTCGAGGGTCTCCATTAACTCAGAGATCTGACTGAGAGCAGACTGCTTAAGCCGAAAACAACACTCAACAGCCAATGGAAACCTAAACCCACAGTGACCTTCTTACTGAGTCGTTCAGGGTCAAAAGTTAGCATTAGCTAGCATCTAAAAAGTGTCAGAAGTTTATTTTTACATAACTCTAAAAGTTCTTAATATTCGGTTTGAATTGGGCGTGGTTGAGTTCTGATATTTGTAAAGTAATCAGTCATGTGATCCAAACATGGAAAAAGTCACAAAGCAGCTCTTCACCTCTTTACAGCTTCTGTTAGGACAGGAATACACTGTGCCAAATGACGTTAGCGTTTATGACACTTAGCTTTATATGTGATTTTTGATCCAGCAGATGTCGCCCTTGAGCACCAGCATGAAACCAAAACAACTCGCGCTGCATTGTTGTGTTAGCATGCTAATGCTAGTGATCTTTATTATGCTGGTATCTTCACACTGCATGTAAATTTACCTGAAATGAGCGTGATCTAGAAACACAGTTAAGCAGTGAGTACAGTATGTTATTCTTCTTTTCTCTAGTCCCTCAATTAAACAACTTTTATATGAGGGGAGGAGTCAGCCGGCCGTCCGGCGATGTAAACAAACTGCAGCCACCATGCTGGAATCCTGTCTCAGTCTAACTTTCAGTCGACCTAACGACAGGCTGAGAGCTGGAGCTGAGGCAGGTTTTAAGCCTCTTGACAAACCGTTACACTTTGCCCCAGGTCAATCATGTCAGCTAAGTGCCTAACTAAGGATAACACGTATTGTTTTCAAAATCAAAACAGAGCCGTTTTTAAAAAATGCACAGTGTGTGACAGTGATGACAATAACTAATCAGACCTATTTGGTATTTTTGTACCAGGCTGTAAACATGTTCATGTTTGCTGTGAAAACTGTTTTTTTTCACTTGTATGTGACTTGTGGACACTCCAGGATGCATGATTTTGCACTTCTACTTTTTTACAATTCACTGAGCAGACGCTTTTATCCAAAGCGACGTACATCAGAGAGTAAGAACAACACAAGCAAGGATCTAGAAAAAAGGGAACAATGTCAGTAAGAGCAAACGATCAGCTTGGTCTGATTGGACACACAGGTGCTGACAGGAAGTGACCAGAGGCAAAGCACAACATTGAGGGCAGTTCTTGAGAGCTCTAATCAGTATAGAAACCATCTTATAAGTCGTCGTTATCAAACAAAAACCATCGTCATTACCATCATCATCATCAATAATATGGAGACCATCATCATTAAGTTAGTAGGTATTCATGAAAGAGCTGGGTCTTTAGCTTTTTCTTAAAGGTGCAGAGGGACTCTGCAGATCCAATGGAGTCCAATTGGAATGCACATTTTTCAAGACTGGAGGTTGCTGCTTGGTTTGAACTTGTTTTGTTTTTTGTGCTGTTATGAAATTGTATTTTCTCTTAGATTTATTGGACACTTTATGAGACTCTCAACTTTGATATCAATTGCACTTTTTTTACTGTTTTGAGACAGATTTCCAACGTCATAGAGGTAGACGTTGGTGCTCTGTCACTCTTTAGGAGGCACACACTGATGCACAAGGCCCATTTGAAAGAACGTACCCTGCCCACACATTTTACTTTACTCTTAAGAATCCTTCATAATGCATAGCAGAAATCCCATCAGTGTTGGGTTGTAGCCACACAAGAACAACGGCCAGATTGAGTTGAGCCAGCAGCTCTTGATGGAGCCAGCAGCTGCTGCTCTCCCCCCAAACTGTACCTCTTAAATTACTCTAATACATCACTTTGATTCTTTACTCTGGTAGCAAGCCTCTTTGGGGTTGTTCTGAGGGAAATAAGATGGCCAGTTTTTCTTGTCCTCCATTTATTTTCTAACTGGTTGCTCCGGATATGCATCCTGTAGATGCGGTTGTTCATGGCGACTTGCATATAATGGAGTTTCCAGAATAGGAATGCGGTTCCCGGGAGTAGATTTTGTAAATACTCATGCAGAGACAGACGTGCTCTTCAGTTTGTCTCCACTGCTGTCAGAAGTCATTACACACAAGCGGCTACAATCCACTGAACTCTGTATTCAAGTGCTTCCAAGCCCAGAGAGAGAGAGGGACGGGGAGAGAGAGGGGAGGGAGGGAAAGGATTCACTTTTTAAAAAGCTGCCAAGTGTTTTTTTCTGCCTGCATTTTTCATTTTTCTGTGTCTCCTGGAAAATGTCTCAGATGTCTGTCTTAGATATGCTCATATTTCTCTGCATTCTTTTCTAACGACCGAAAGGAGCTGCAATGCTTTTGGTAAAAAACACAAAAAATGACTTTGTCCTTTTGTTCAGCCTGTGCACAAAACCTGCAGTGTAACTGTCATCTTTAACCGAATCAGCTACAGATCCCTGCAGGGTTTTTGAGTTTTTCTGTTATGCACCAGAAAACTTGGACAAATCAGGAGTAAT